TAAGAAAGTAGTAGCGAACAGCTTAACGAAGTTTAATTTAATCTAAAATATAAATAGTAGTTGTGTTTCTCTACGGTGAGGTTTAGAATAAAAGCAAGTGAATATGTTGTGATTGGCGGCACGGACACGGAGTAAGATAGTTCATAGTTAACGTGTTGAGTTGACTTTCAGAGTTGCTGCTTAATGGGAGGCGGAGGAAGCAAATTTCTTCAAACACTCACCCTATATTTGGTTCAGGGAAATTTTTTTATTGGAATAAATAATTAAATTAAATGAATAAAATAAAATAAAATTTTTTTTCCTCTCTCTCTTTTTATTTTTATTTTTTTATAATTAAATAAATATTTTTTTCTTGTTCTTTCCTTTCCCTTATTTTTCTTAATTTAAATATACCATTAGGGCCTGTTTGGTTAGGAAAATTTTTTTAAAAGTTTTTTTTAAAAATATTTTATAAGATTATTTATATATTTTTATATATTAATATTTATTTATACCATAAATTGCAAAAAATTAATATTATATCATACATCAAATGTTTTTAAATTGATGGAGGTGATTTAGCCATATCAGATATATAATTGTGGATTCTATGACAAATTAGGTGCCACATAAGAAAGAAAGAGTCAAAAAGATGAGATTTTATTTTTTTGTTACCTATTCAAATCATTGTTGGGAATGTTTCAATTGATTTTCAAGAGTTAGTTTCAATTAAGGATGTGAGTTGGCTGATAATGAGATATGTGGCAAATTTTGGATCTAATTCTGATTTAGTTAATTGCTAAGATGTCCAACTTCTTTAGAAAACTATGCATGATTGAGTAACTGCATGAAGTGGGGAGTTGCAGGCAAGGAAGAGGAAAATTTTTTATCATTCAATACATGACCAGCCCTACTGACAACTCAACAAATTTTCAGACTTCTAGTTTCTTAATGATTGTTCACTTTAATTTACAGATTTTGGTTTTTAGCATAATTCCTAGTAAATTTAAGTTGCTTTTATCATTCTAGTAGCCAAATTAGTTCATGGATTTGCTTTAGCTATTTTGTTTTATGCAATGAACATCAAGCTTTTGAATTTCTGGAAGGTATTATTTTTCTTCTGATTGGCATTAGTTTAATGTTTATATTAACTAGCGTTTTATCAAATGATTACTTACATGACGTTCACACTTCTTCTCAATTTCGGGCATGTTAGTTTAGTCCCTATTCATATTTATTTTAGTGTTATTTAGGGTTAGATCTCTAATTCTGCAATAACTTAATTTCTAGATCTATCTGTAGATAGTAGTTTAATCAAATAATAAGCATGTTTAATTTAATTTGAATGCATCTTGTATTTGTAAATTTACTTTAATTTCCATGCGATTTAGTTCACTTGGAATCTATTAATTTTGATTCACAATAGTGTTTAAGTCATTGAAGTTATCCAAAGCAGATTTAATAATCATTCTACAGAGAAGCATCATTCCCTCCTGTAACAAATTTTAATTTTAAACCAATGTTCTTCTTGTCATCCGCAAACAAGTCGACCATGAGGAAAAAGAAATTTGTTGGAAAAATCCTTATTTCTGGTTTTTAACAAAGTAAGTGGTATGTCCACATCTAGATTTCACGTATGCGAAGTCACTTGATTATTTTTGAAAAAACAATATTATAATAAAATAAAAATACCATTTTAAGTATTTATTTTTCTTAACATAAGTTTCAACCTATAAAGTTTTTTTCCATCTATTTTGCAAAAAAAGAATTTCTCTATAACATTTTTATATTGGATTTACTTAACAACTTATTTTATCGCTTTTTTTATCAAACACTACAAAATTAATAACATAACAAAATTTCAATAAAATTTTATTACAAAATTTAACAATTATTTTCATATAATTAGAAAGTTTTAACTTTTCATATAGTAATTTCTTTAACTACTTTTTTAATAAAAACTTTCCTATAAGAAAGTGATTTTTTAATCAAACAGTCTCACATGCATATTTTATTTCAGAAAACAATACTCTTTGTTCAATTTTGTCTTACTATTCTGACTTTTATATAAAGATTCATTAGATAATTTTATATAATAAATAGATGATAATTTATTTTTTTATATATATAGTTTTTATTGAATATTTTTACTTAGATTAAAAATTTTTTAATTGTTATCTATTTAATATATAAAATTATCTAATCAAATATTATGTTAAAATGACAATTAAACCCAACTGATGAAAGTAGTATTTAACAAGCCAATGCTATTTTGTCATCCAAACTATAAAATAAGATTTGTCAAATAAAAGTTAACTCCAAATACTAAGCGATTTGAGATTCACTCCACATCTAACTATTTAAGTTTTATGATCTAAATTAAAAATTAATTTTTTAATTAAACAAAGAAAGATGTAAAATATTAAAACATTACCATAAGATGAGTGGGATATGAGATAGGTGTCACCTAAGACCACCAATCACGCCACTGAAATTAGACGTGTTGACATTATTAACGTGACTACGTTTTGATTTCCACTTTGTAAATTCAAAGAGTTGGGTTGAACCAAACAATGATAGCCACTTTAATTTGCATCTAAAGTCTAAAACATAAACTTGAGAGTTACTGTTGCAAATTTTGCTGGCACGTGAGAAGCAAGCAAACTAAAACATCTGCAGATCAATGGAAGATCTTGTTGAGGAAATTGTTTGAAATGTTACATAAATTTCATGTTTAGACAGAAAGATACTGTTTTATTCGGCACATTTCCCACACCAACAGCCGCCATAAAACTCGCGGACATTAAACACTGGATGCAGGAAATACACATTTACTCAAAATCAAGGAACTCCATTCTTTTCCTCATTGAACCTTTAAGATCTGAAGCCTCCCTCTCGGCCTTCTGTGCCTGCAGATAACGCATGACATGAATTAATGAAAGGAAATGGAAGCCATGAAAAACCCAAACACACAGGCATCTTTATCAGGTGGACTCTTGGCCTCACTAGCAAGCAACAAGAACAGGTAGGAAAATTCAATACCATCATACCAACTATATGAACATGGCAGCATGTCATGTACCACCTGCTTTCAGACATCTTTTGCAGCATACCAGATTTGATATGTTCAGGAAAAATAAGCTGATGAGCACCCATAAACTCTTTAACACCATTGGCAGATGAAAGTGTGGTGGCAAATCTGCCCCTCAACTTACAAATTGCAGGAAATATGCCTAAAGTGAGTGGAATGGTTAAGTCACCATTAAGTTTTGTTGACATTGAAAATGGTCATTTTAGTTAAATCAATAACTGTGACTTGATGGTTCCATCCACTTTGAGTTTATTTACAATACAGTTTGTAAGTTGAAGGGTGGCTTTGCAACCAAACTTTCCTTAGGGGCTTATCTTCCGATGGTGTTAAAGTTTGGGAGCTTATCAGCCTATTATTCCATGTCTAAATACTAATTCACATAAGACATCTGCACACCATAACTATCCTGCCAAATGTTGGGCCCTAGTAAGTAAAGCGGCATCACTGCTCCAGGCGAAAATTAATGGCTCTTGTAACATCAACAGAAATTGATTATTTCCAGTTTTCCTTCTTTTATTTATTTATTTGAAACGTTCAGGTTTTGTAAACGTAAGGTTTTAGAATGAAGTTGGAGACTGGAGAGAGAAGAGGATGCTCTCTGACCCTCAAATTATACCCAAAATAAGGTTTTATACTGATAGATAAAACAACTCTATCTGGCTATGTAAATCAATTAATATTCCATAACCACACCATGAGAACTAAGGGCGAGAATTTATGGTCCTTGTATAATTCAGAATTCAGTTAAAACTGTGATTACAAAAACCACATTAATGAGATAACAAAGATGCTATAATATTCATGAATGTTTTTCCAAGTGAATGGTTAAACATGTAGAATTTTGTCTTTCTTAGCAAAACATATAGACAGAAATATAATCAAGAAACACCAGGTTAACCTCTTCTCTATACCAATCTAGCCTATACCAGAATGATTTAGAGCATCATACACCAGTGCACAAATTTAAGAAGAGACCAACCTTTATCATATTCAATGAATGTCAATATTTTTACCCAGTAGCATGCTATGTGATAACCATGAGAAACTAGGAAATCGTGAAACATGTTCCAAATATATTTAACAAGACAAAAGAAAATAACCACGTAAGCAAAGTGACTCAACTACTCAAAGGATTAAAGGAAAAAAGAGCTATAAGCCATTATGGTTATATGTCAAAGAAAATGGCATTACGATCTCTAATAAAACACACATAATATTATGAGATGAGTTATGTAGGACTTACTCTCCTAATTTCTGTCACTGAAACTCTAGTCATACGTGGGGGAAGTTCTTCTCTCTCCAAGTCCTAGCACATCCAATGCAAACCATAAGATAAGAGGACCAAATGGATTAAATATTTGACAAAATGTTTACTAGAACCAACAGACTACAAACCATACCAGCTCGCCAATTAAAACAACATTCTCTCCACGGATTACATATAGACCTAAAGGAATGTCACAACAGAGATCGCCGACAATTAGTCTCTCACATGCACCCTCAAGAACAGCATTGGCTGCAAAAAAAACCATAATATCTTTTCAGAAACTAGAATAGAATTTTATCATGAGAAGTCAACACCAACTGGGATGAATAAGATGATGTCAATACCAAATTGATCAAAGGAACGTAGTGTTCCCAAGAGCTTTCGACCATCTCGCAATAGTACAAGCAGTTTCCCTGCATCATACATAGAGTTGAGAACCAAACAAATGGCACAAACAAAATATTAACCAGAAGCACCCGAAACAGTTCATCAACCCTAGATGTAGGAGAGAAATTCAGCTATGTTTGAATCCTACATATAACTGAAAAAGAGATAAGAAACATCGAATATTCTCCACTGCAAGAGCCAAAAATTTTGACAGGCATATAAATCTCAAGAATTTCTCATGATCAGCAATGCAAAAGAACATGATACATTAAACTATTTAATTAAAAAAACACAGTGAGATTGTGAAATTTGATCCAACAACATAGATATATAAATATAGAAGAATCCCATATAACTATGAAACAAGAAAACCGAAATATGGAATTGAGCAACAACAACAATTCTCTATGTATTAATGTTCAACACCAAATATCAAATCTTTTCGAACAAATGTCAATCCAAAAACCTTAAAAGTTGAAACTTTAGACTAATTATTGAATGCAAACTTAATAGCAAACATTAGCAATTCAATATAAGCATATGGGTATGAGGAAGGAATCGAGATATGGGGAGAGAGCATACTGTCAAGATAACTGGCAAGAGAAGTAGAAAGGTAGATATCTTCCGGGCCTGCCCAAGACATTGATGAACTATTTTCGGTCTATCAAAAAAAATCACCGAAAAATCCTCCAAATCCCAATTACCCAAATATGGCATTTGCTGCCCAAAATTCTCCAAATCCAGCGCTCACTCACTCCCACTTCATAAAAAATTAGAGAAGCAAAAATCTAGAAGTAAAAGCAAACCCCTTAAAAGCAAGGAAAAAAAAAGTGCCTTTAAATTCAATTATGAGCAAAGTAGGGGATTTTTCACAGAACTAAGAGAAACCCCTAACTTCCAATTCAATTATGAGCGAATTGGGGGAATTTTCTATTCCGATTTGAAGGGATTAAGTGCAACTGATAAAGGGCACCCAGATCTAATCGCGCCGGAAGAGAGAGAAGTTAAGGGGAAAATAAAATATATGAATCCGATGGTAAAATTAGAAAAAGGTGGGAAATTGATTATTTATAAGGTAAAGCCTAAGAATTAAGGGTTGGAAAAGAATTGGGAGACAAATTTATCTAATTAATTTAATATAATTTTTGCAAAATATTTTAAATTTTAAATTATAATAATATATATAAGTTATATATATAAAAAAAAATCAATACCATTAGCATATTCTTGGATTAATTCGGAATTCAAAAAAGAAAAAAAAAAGTGTGAATTTATATATTATTTCATGTGTTTAATATTATTTCAGTTCAGTGCATGATGAAGGTGAGAGAGAAGTGGAACATGAGCACACATGATTGGATGGGGTGGAGTAAATTAGGAGAGGATACGTGGCTTGGTTAGTTTACCAGATCACATAGATAGAAGTCAAAGTAGGAAGACAGCAAAATCTTGATTGGATGTGGTGAGTTGACATCAAGAACTGTGATTTGACTTTTTACTTTTGGTGCAATCATCACATGAAATCAAAGTATAACGAATCGGAGTATTTACATCAGAGCTGTCATCGGTTGTCACCAACCCTGAAACATTATTGGCTTTGTAGTTGAAATGCAGCTAATGGTTAATATTTAACCGGTTATTAAATTGTAAAATATGTTTTAAGAATCCTTAGCCCCTCTCCCCTCTCCTCCTATTTTCTTTTGTACACGGTAAAAATATTTTATGTAACAAGTAACTTCTTTTAGTCTTTTCTTCTTTTGTGACGTCTCTCTCTTTTACTTTTATTGTAATCGAGTCTTAAGGCATTTGATAATTACAATTCGACATAATAAGATTATCAATTGGTGAAAATTGTTAATAGTTCAAATACTTGCCCTTTTTAAAAAAATTGACATAATAGTTGAGAATGTTTGGTAATTTAAAATGTTTATAAAATTTATTTTTTAATTTGTTTTTTTTTTTTTTTTTCTTTTACTGTTTGTTATTTTATTTTTTGGTTTTGGTTGTTTTTTTTATTTAATTATTTATATTTATTGTGAGTAAAATTTAAATTTGTATCTAGTTTTATAGAATATGCTTTTGATTATACATCCCATAATATAAAAATTCATATGTAACCTTAATTTTACTTATTTTAATACAATATCTATTTCTTATCACAAAAAAAAAAAAAAAAAAAAAGTGTAAAACTTGAGCTCTTAAAGGCAGACAATATCTAATAAGAGGGGTTTCACTCTATTTAACAATTTAAGTTGTGTAACATATCTATAGACTATATGCACATTTTAAGTTGGGTAGAAATGGCCTCAGTAGAGGTGCAGTTCCAGGTTCAACTAGGTTGGCTTTTCTTACACAACTTTTACAGCACTTGTTGAACATAACCGTAACAAAGATGGCTGAATATTAAGGGAATCCACGTCTCAATAATGTATGCCGATTAAATATTATTCACCACAAAACTATCTTACAGAAGGCGAAGCTTAGCAAACAGGTGAAGGCAAATATAACAAAATCAACAAAGAGAATTAAGTATCAGACGATATTCAAAATGTCCAGAAGTGAGGGTGCTGTCTCAGATATCCTTTTTGACGATATCTCATAACATATGCTGCACGATGCGCCAGCAGGTACAGCCATGAAAAAAAGAGGGAAAGCACCATCACCAAAATACAGAGACTAATAGCTATTGTAAGCTGCCTGGATGCTGTCATGAGCCAATAAAGATGAACTTTATTGTTGGAATTTTGTACTTTTTGGAAATCTCAGTTCTACATCAATGAAGCCAACCATTTTTTTTTTTTTTCTTCAAGTTGTTGAATATTTCAAAGTTGCAATGCTGATGATCAACATGAAACGATTAAGATCACTGAGCCAAATTTCACCCTTCCAGGTTATTAGGATAGTCAAAAACTATGTACCAGTCACCTTCTTTTTGCTTCTTGGAATTACATTTCTAGAACAATATCTGCAATGTAAACATAATTAAACAATCAAATTAAGCCACATTAATCTGCAAATTACGAGGGCCATATGATTGTAAGTATTCAACATAATTAAACCGATCTAATTAAGCATGAGACTTACATTCAGAATCTGTTTTGACCCATTTATGTCCATCACTATTTCTCTCCTGGGTTTCATCTTCACTTCGCCTTTTCCCTGTCTGTTTGTCCGCTAAGTATTTCTTCATGGATGATGCCCGAGAAGAATTTTGAGTGTAAATCTTCTTATGTAGCATCATCCTCAAAAGCTGTATAAATTGAAGCAAGAAAATCAGTTCAAACTATGGAAGAAAATAATCAAATTTTCTCAGTTATGCCATACGTATTAACTAATTACTTTCTCCATTCTGGACTCTTGAAGTGTGTCTCTCAAACTGGGTTGGGGGGCAAACCCACTTCCACAGACAAACATCTTCTTCAGAAGGAAAGAAATGGATTTTTTCCCAATTGATTTCTTCTTTTTCTCTGCACAAATGTCTTTGCATCTACCAAGAATAACACTAATGGTCCGATCAATATCTTCATCTTTATAATAATCATCTGAATCACTGCAAAGTGCATTACTGATTCTACGGTCCACCTCCAGGCTGGAGGGGCAATTAAGAAATCTATCCAAGGGAAGGTTGGCGATTTCCTTCTCCACATTGGGATCTTTTTTCCTTGACAAGAGTTTTGTCAACTCTTTCTGTAATTTCCCTACTTCTTCCGGTGTGAACTCCTGCAAATCCTCAGATGAAGATGGTTCCCCTAGGATATTAGATAGGTCATCCTCCTCTTGGATGACCTCTTGGCTCTGTGGGTTTTGGCGGTCCCTCAGATCACTGTTACCAAAGGTTCCTATTGCGAGCAAGCCATGAGGCCAATCACTGAACTCTTCACGAGGCTCCTGTTTCTTATGATCTATACATTAAAGAAGATGAAATGAATGTTACTGAGTAATCAGAGTTGGATTGATTTTCGATAAAAAACACAAAAGTATTTTATATGAAGTTTGTTGGCTGTGGGAATGAAGATTGCATGTGCAGCATGTCCAACTTGTCTCAGCCTTTTTTATTAACCTCTTTTGCAGTTTCTAGCAGAAACTATGGGCACCTAACAAGGCCATTGGACTCCTCGGAGTATTGTCTCTTGTATTTTGGCAACAGAACATAAAAACTTGGGATTTTGCTAGCCAAAGCAAATACAATTAACATGGTATGGCTCAAACATTACTACAGTTGGGCTCAAACATTACTACAGTTATTGAGAAGAATGTCGCGTTCATTGCCATAAAACTCAGAAGAATGTCATGTGATCTTGGACAACCTAGTTCAAAACCACCTAACAACACGAAAATCACACCAGAAATTAACTAATATTGTTTGCCATTCAGATTTGGATCTTACAAAAATTAATTGATTCATTAATATGCAGCTGGGGTCTAAATGGGGGCATGATCCAAAGTCCTTACTGATCTTTGGTTCAATCTATTAACCAATTCTGTTATTTGAGATTATGTCACAGTTATGTTGACTACTTCACTTCGGATGAACTATAAAAGCTTATATGAAATGTTCATAACATATGTTTGAGAATCTGAAACAGAAGATTAATCATACAACTGAAGATGAAGAATGCTTACGAGTAGCTTGAACTGGAACAGTATTTGATTTCTCATTCCCTTGTTTTCCACTGAGCTTGTTTTGCATCCAACCAAAGAACTACACAATATCAAACACATCAAAACCTTCAGGAATTTAGTTTGAACTTAAAATAAATAACATGTTTGCATGAATAAGTGCTGATGCAATTAAAAAGAAATACAAACTTATAGAGAACAACTTACCTTCATTTTGAAATATAGAACAATTCAGACTGCCTTGTAGGAGAGCTAAGGTAGTGGGACTGTGGGACTAGGAGGAGATACAGGAATGTAATTTGGAAAACTCAGGCGTTTAAGAAGCAGATGCGGATTGAGCTTTGGAAGACTAAAAACATGGAAGTAATTTGATGAATGTCATGGGGGAGTTGAGTTCCTTTATCGGTTCAAGTTCCTAAAAGCAGCCCTTCGTATTGCATCCCCTTCTTCACACCTTTAGAATTTCAACAGTCGCATACATACTACCTTTTCTCCCCTTACCCCAGTCCCTTTTAACTTCACTAGCTCTAAGACATTCTCTTCTAATTTATAATGATAATTTATAATGTGCATCTATCTATGTGCCCATAAAATATGATCAAAGGATACTGCATGATGGGTTTATGGACATCTGCGTGCAAGCATCATTGTGGCACTACTTTTGTCCATTAGATCTCGGAAAGATGGTGATTCCAAGGCAATTGGATCTCCATAAAGAATCAAGCGGTTGTAAGACTGGCACGAGGGCTTTGAATAGTTCACCTTGTGTTGTTCACTATTTCCTTCCTTTCACCTTTCCTTGCATGGACAATTAACACATCAATTGCTTGAAATGTTACCTTGCTTTAGAAAAAAGTTTACAGTTAATTCTACTCATGCTTATTACACTCCAAGAAAAAGAGAATACTACTTTATTTGGGGAGTTAGGTACCCAGTCAAAACATTCTCTGAAATGTGATATGAGATTGAGTGCGTTGCAAATTGACTTCTCTATTGTTTTGTTATCCGGACATTGCACTAGTTTTAACGAAAAGGGACTAAAAATCTACGGTTCCTATTCTACATAATGAAGATTTTCTTGGCCATCAATGTATTTTTGGGTCATTACCTATTCTATTGTACCATATCTTTTTATTTATTTAGGCTTTATACAAATAGTTATCAGCTGTTAACTCTAATAAAATAGATTAGATATTCTGAATATAAATAACAATAGTTATCAATCATTAAATATTTACTATCAGTTATCAACTATATAAAAAATGCTAATCCAAACAGCCTATAAATTACTGCAAGCCAGCTAAAGAAATTGATTAATCTGATTAATGACTTAAAACTAACCCCTTAAAAAAGATGAAGGAATGGGCAGTAAGGAGGAAGATATTAAATAAACGAGTGAAGAGAAGGAAACCCACGTTCTCGTGGGATTGTCTTCCTCACCCACGGAATAAAGTCCTGAATTCTACCTCCCCTGATTGGAGGACATGCAAGAATGAATGCCCCGGAATTGTTAATAACCTGTTTCTATTTGATTGGTTGCAAGGATAATATGACAAGCACTAAGAGCATTCTATACAGCAGCAAAGCTGCACCTGGCACTATTAGAGTTTTGTTCATTTGTGTAGCACATGTCTTGTATCACACTAACAAATGCATGCAATGGTACAACATACCCAAAAAATCAAGCAACGATGCGTTATCACTGGCTGAAAAATAGGGATTCGGAAGATAAGACCTTTCCTTTCGCATAATGTATTGTTTATATAAAAGTTGGAACATCTCATCAGGTCTTCATTTGAAACAATAAATGCACAGTAGGAATAACTAAAAATCTTCCTTAGAATCTTGCAAAAAAAAAAAAAAAATCTTCCTTAGAAAATAACATGCCTCTTTTCATGCATGCTTTCACATCCATATCAACATGAAGAGATTACAATGTTTCGTGATTGGGGATTATATCAATATATCTATTCTTGACAAAATGAAGAAAAAGAAGTACGCATGTTAAGTTTTAAGTTCAAATCAAATGGCACAATAAGTTATTAAATTTAATATTGATTTTTTCTTGTGTGTGTGTGTGTGTTTTTTTTTTGGTACAAAAAGGAATTAACATAGCATTAAAGATCAGCAAACAATAGCCATGGTTATTACCACACAAAATATTTATTTGATTGTTAAAAACAGTTGATAACTATAAGCATTAGTTAATAGAATAGTTGATATTTATGACTTAATAGACTACAGACTATTATTTCCAAACATTATAAATAATTGTTTAATAAAAAAAATTATAAACTGATAAAATCAATTAAAATAAACACAACTATTATACCATTTGTGTGACCTTAACAAAAGACTGTGTGACAATAACCAATCCCGCAAAGAGCATAGCGCTGCACGATAGTTTCAGCCATATCCTAGCTATAAGAAACAAAACAACAATTAGAAAAAGAATCAAAATGAAAAAATGGTTCCTCCATTGAAACACTGAGTTTTGCAAGAGTGTCCGCTGTTGCCTTCTCGGTAGATGTGAGTAATCTGCATCTCTTCAAAGGGAGAGATCAGTGACCCACTAGTAAGTTGATCAAGTGATCAGTGAATTTTAACCTTGTTTTTGTTACTTTAATTCCATACTTACTTTCCCTATACCCACTAGCAGTACCATAGTCCATGGATGTGAGGATTTATGATTCGTTACTTGAATCCAAGAATAAATAATTCATCATTTTCCCCCAAATCAATGACCCACAAGAAAACAAGGGAAAGACCAACCAAGAGGAAATTTCCTAACGAAGCACTCTAAAATGGAGGCAGAACAAATCTTTCTAAAAAAGAGAAATAAAATCTTAAATCAACTTCTTCAAGTTCCTATGTTGGAAGAAAGAACACCTAATTATAAGCATCTCCATCAAAGATCTAAGAATGACATTTTTTTTAAACCTTAAAACTCAATACTCAATACTCTGAATTTTGAGTTACCGTCTTTGTATATCACCAGTCAAAGGCAAAAAAATCTTTGAGACAATTTGACAGCATATGCAACCCTAGCAATTAAGCAATTAAGCAGTGAGTTCCCAGAATGGGGCACATAAGTGACAGGAACTCCAATTTTCCCGCTACAAGGATTGTCAATTATCAAAATGGCAACTGGGAGAGTGGGACCTGTACCGTCTAGTAGTAGAGAGGGCCCTTTGGGGCACATCCCAATCACGTGACTGGCCTATTCGAGTGGGTCCCTTCCACGTCAGACTGGCCGATTAGGTGGGGTCGGGTTATGGTACGTGTCAAAGACAAAGTAAATTCCATCATCTACCGTCTGCCCACACGTGTCCCCAAGGGGCCAGGGGGTTGGGTTGACTTTCTACGACTGTGATTACCACTACAACCCCCAACTATCCTTCTGGCATATTGGAAAAAGGAATGATTCCAAAACAGTTTATCTTGCTACTAAACTTGATCTCCTATTACATGCCTTGAATACATTACAATTTAACTATATCAAACAGTATCTAACCACTGTTTTATTTGACTAAGTGATTAAAATATCTGGGTTTAGGAATTACTTGAGAAGGTTTATGATGGTTTTAGTCGACCTAAGCCATTTGATTGGCTGACAGCTTGACACGAGTCTTGTTTGGACCACTGAACGTGCATCTACACGTGAGCAAGTGCCGCCTCCAAGCAAGATTTCTTGCTAAATGTGTGGTTTTTACTAAGTTTACGTAGCTTAATCACTTTAGTATGTTCTTTGGTTTATGGTATAGGACTAAAGTAGCTAATAAATTTGTAACCAATCGTCACCCAACTCGTCACCACAAAGATTTTCCAGAGCTTAAAAGAAAAAAATTTCATCGAGATGCATTAATATGCAGATTAAAACGGGAGTCATGGGTCACTTCCACCAAGATAACTAAAAGGTAGCAAAGCCATGTGAGTCATGGCACATACTAGATGTCTAGGGTTTAGGAATAGAGCCAAATTTTGGCAAGCTTACTAATTGTGGAATGTATGAAAACTTTGGCCAACTTAAACTAAGATCTGGTATGATCTGGACCTCAATCCTCTAGGTGGAGGCCATCATGCTTTGACTAGCTCGGCTTTTGTTGGATCTTAAGTTTAAATAAATCAAGTCTCTTGCATTAAAATTAAGCAAATGTTTCAATCCTGCAAGATTGTCCCTATGTGACATGCCAGATCAAGATATTGTGACTTACAGGAGAGTAATAAAGCACGGAATTTGTTCTCAAAAATAATGGGAAAATCCTCCATTCACTAGGACCTTGTTGGTGTTCCGGTATTTAACTAGAGGAAAGCTAGCCGTATTTCTAGAGGTTTGAATCTAAGCAGAGTTTTACTCACGTCTATAACTAACAATGGTGACACCTAAGCAGCTCCTATGCAAGTAACGGTGAAAATGACAAATAATCTTGGCACCCATAGGGAGAATACATATATATCCATTTGCACTAGGATAGCAAGATCGATGTGAGAGAAAAATAAAAAATGAGAAGAGTCGAAGTTTTTTTGTTAGTTGTATACTTCCAATATTTCTACCCTTAAGCACATTAAAGTATCTTATCATGCTTAGCATGGGCTTATAAGTTTGAATGCTTGAATCTAGGTAATATCCAACCATAACTGAGACATATGACAATTAGACTAAAGGATTGGGTGCACATACCAAGTTGTTCTCCTCAGCATGCGCTCCAAATTAACCCTTATGTGTCAGACTGTCGATGTTGATGAAGAATAGAACATCTGTGCAATAATAAACACCTAATTAAAGGGCCTTCCGTAGACTCGGCTACATAAAGTCTTAAGAACATGCGGGTGGAAGAGAACTCCAAACTTTAAACTTCCATGTGTAAGTAGTTAATAGACCAAATTTTGGCAAGAAAATGTGCAAGTGAAATTCTTGCAGAAATCATTGTCAGAAGCATATTATGCTAGATTGATGAAAAAAAAGGATATAGCACTATGAAGCTTGAGAAAACTAACAAACCAATAGAAACATAACATAAAGAAGTACATTGATTACATCATATACAGTAAAAAAGGATTAGAGAACCATGATGCAGTGCTTATCTTCCTTTTGTTTTTCACATCCCTTTATTTTCTAATTTCTATAGCAGCCTAATAGCTTGCATGTAGAATGAGCACTATAAAACCACATTGATCCTACCACATCGATGCAGTGCTACGTATTGAGTTGACAGAATTGTGCATAAATAAAATTAAAACCATGCTAATGCGAATGGAATCTAAGGCAGAGAACAGACAGAAAACCAACAGGTGCATACAGAGTGTGGCTAGAGGCATAAGCATATCAATGAGTCCTAGACAATGTTTTAGCATTAAAGGCAGAGATTGCAAGAGTCCGAGAAATTTGCATGAATTATTTGGCACAGCTTCAGACTCATTGAACCCCAGAAAGACAATTACCAGCCTTGTCAAATTTCATTAAGAAAGAGACAAAGGAAATCATCCTTTCATACCACCATCTTTCATCAACACAAAATAGTAGTCCCATACGTTAGGCTTCACATTCTGCATTTGGTATGACTGTTCCCTTTTTAGGCACAATACTTAAAATATGACTCTAGAACAGCTTCTAATGAGTCCAAAGTGATAAGAACCGAAGCTATGCCATTCCATAGGTTCATATGAAACCTTAGTCAACATAAAGGTTTGGCTTTCAGCATATTCAGTTGTCTGATATCACAATAGAATAAAGTCAAGCCAAGGCAAATTTCTAAACACAATTGATATAAGTATGTGAAATCTGGTATCTTGAGATTCTTACATCTCCAGCTTTGACTAAATGTTTCCATCTGCTAGTCGCACTGTCATGTATCTATACTTTTCAAACTGCATATATAGCATAGCAAAATTATTATTATAACAATAACAATAAATAAATAAAGAACAAAAAATATGCTTCTTAGCTGGCCAAGTAACAAGTTGTTGACCACTCGAAAAGCGAATGGTACATCTTACAGTGCCCATTCAATGTATACTGAACGGTTAATTCTCTCTCAACTCAAACATTCTTCGATGGTAACCAAAAATAAATATTAAAATGCAAGAATTGATAGTAAAGAGAAACTTATAGCACAAACTTGATAACAACTAACATTAACCAACATATCTGAATGTGCAGTGAGCAGGCTAGTTGCACATTCCTGTATAATTCTTTTGTAAATCTCCCTTTGAGCTGATTTATATATAGGAACCAGAGCCATGAACACAATTCTTTTGTAAATCAAGCCCACGTGTTGCTATCATGCTAAAAGAAGAAGAAACAATCACCAAATAATTCTAATATAAACTGGTCAGGGACCCTAATCTCGCAAGCAGAAAAAAAAAAAAAGGAATCTGTAACCTTAGTCTTTTTTTATACAGTAGATTATCAAAACTTCAAAAGATCATGCAATGAATGCCATAACTATAACTCATTTAACCTTTGTTCAACATATAAGAGTGGCCAAGGAGATTAGAAACAGAGAAATGAAGCATAAAGATCAACAAGAATAATGTTTAACTTTGAGGGTGAGTTATCTTAACCTTCCGAGCATTAGTGGGTCGAATTAAATGATGCCAATCAGCAACAGAAATTTCCATTTCCTTTTCCAAAACAATAACCAACACTGGACCACGGGTAGATGTAAAATGTCCAAGCAAGCAAGAACAAGCTTGAAAATATGATGGAATAACCAATGATGTTAGCCAGTTTTCTAATTATAAAGTTCTTTTCAACCTTAACATAATAATAGCTAAATAAGAGGCGGCATATGATATGAGATCATCAACTGTCACTAAAATGATAGTATAACCAATGTTAATTCCCTAAAATCCATATATAACCTGTTTCTCTGTACATATTATATCATAAGATGATGAAAAAAAAAAAAAAAAGATGCGGAGTTTTGCATTTGTAAAGTAGTTTGTTAAGAAGCAGTGCTATGAAGAACATAACTAAAAACAATTTAACTTATTTATCAATTGCACAATCACATCCCTTAACCCACTTCAGCTATATATCATGGAACTCGAACTTCAAGACATCTTATTTTTAGGAAAAAATAAATTATTACTGAACTATTTAGTTTCTAACACTAAGAAAATACATAAAAATTAGGATAACTAATAAAAGAAGAAACACTATAGAGAAAAAAAATTATAACCACCAATACTGAACTACTTTCACAAAAAAAAAAAAAAACCTAAGCTTCAAACATCATGTAGTAAAATTACCCTTTGTTTGGCTACTAAGAAATTCAAATTCGAGGTTTATTTCTTCTCTGTCCTTTTTCAGCATTTTCTCAGCAACCAAACAAAAAATACGACAAATTAAAAATGAGAAACCCTAGCTAATCTGCGTACCTGCTTGGAGAGAAAGACACCATAACGAAAAGGATCAGGAATTTGGTGAGTGAATCATACCGAGTGTAACCAAAAAATGCACAAAAATAGTGATACTGAAGATCCGTATAAGCATTAAACCGGAAAGAGCTTCGATGAATAAACAGAATTCTTTTGAAAATTGTAGCAATAAACGAGAGAAAACGTGAAGTTGAAATATACAGAAATGAAGAAATGAGAACTCTTAAATCGGCCGTGCCGATTGGCATGGGATGCGTGACAATTTGCTTGTTTAAGTGAAGCAGTCTTCTCGAACTCCATTTTTGAATTCGAAGCTGTTAAAGCATTTGAATCCTTTTCTTTCTGGTGAATTTTCTCGAGATCCAAACAGGAAGTTAGCTGGATTTTATCCGCATAAGAATGGCGGGAAAATAGAAAACAAAAGTGAGAGAATTTTCTGGGGGAGAATGGAGAGGGGGAATTAGTGCACAACGAACACCAGAGTCAAGCGTTGACTTCTGTAGTACCTGACAATTGACAATTGCGGATTGGTCGAACCAGATATTAATCGAAGAATTTTTTATTTAGCAGAAAAAAAAATATAAATTATTGGCCGAGGGGTGCATTTTGCAATGA